GCGTGTTTAAACATCAGGGCGGGCTGTTTTTCGCGATTTTCGCTCCCAGGGGGCCTTCGCTCGGCCCTGGGAGCGTCGGACAAACGCTTCGGGATGCAGAGCCGGCCCCGGGGAAAGGGTCGGGACTTCTGGGGACGCCGTATGGAACAAATCAGGACATCGCATGTCTATCGACGAGCCGAAATCCTTCACATCAGTAATTTTGGGTCTCGGAGCCCACAGGGCGGTTTTTCATGTTTTCCATTCGACGTTCCATGAAGCCCGATGTCATTCCGAGGCCGCGCGTCGAACGTTTTCGATGGCGCGTCGCGTTATGCGATGTCACGCGATCCTAGACATGTCTAGGATCGCGTTGGCACCTGGTGCATTTCGCCTCCCTGGTCTTCCTCTACCTCGCGGACGTTGACTTGCTCACGGCCCTCCTCACGCAGCACTCGAGGATGGTGTTTTTGGCGCGCCGATGACGGCAACACCATTCCACCTTTCCCTGTGGGACCGCGCCCCCTGTTCCAGTCCATGGCGCACCTTTTCCTGTGCAAGCTCTTCGGCACCGCCTGCACCCCGCGCCCTCCGGCCGCCTGAGGCCCCGCCCGCCCGCGCCCTGTCTCCCCAATTCGTGCTGTGCGCGCCCCGCCTAGCTCTTAACCGGAAGAGGCTCGCTCTCGACCCGCAGACCAAAAAGTCTAGGATCGCGTCTGAAGGGCCGCGCTGCCGCGTGGACACTTCAGTGCGGGTCGGGGACTCGGGCGGGCGCGACATCATGATGACGTCGACAACGGCGACGACGCAAACGATGACGACGGTTGTGACGATCGTGGCGATTACGGTGATGATCGTGGGTGAGACTGATGGTGATGATGGTGGTGATGATGATGGGTGATGATGATGATGATGATGATGATGATGATGATGATGATGATGATGATGATGGTTGATGATGATGACGAGGAGGAGGAAAAGGAGGAGGAGTAGGATACTGATGATGATGGCGATGGCACGGATGACGCTGAAGACGATGATGCTAACGATTGCGCTCATGAGGCTGATGGGAAAGTGCACGCCCACATCCTTGCATGATCTCGCCGCGCGAGCGCGCGAAAGCGCGGACGCGTGCGCACGAGGGTCGCATGCTATCATGTGACTCCTCCTCCTCCTCCTCCTGCTCCTCCTCCTCCTCCTCCTCCTCCTCCTCCTCCTCCTCCTCCTCTGAACGTGTTCGGCATGCGTGCGCGAGTGGCCCACATGGTCTGATTTGATATATTGGCCCAACACGTATAGTTTGCTCGAGATGTTGCCCTTTAGTGATGGAAGGCTGCCGCTAGTTGGTGATAGCGTTGGTTACCCATGCTCTCTACTGCTTACGCAAACCATGGCGTGAATGATTTTGACGTGCGCACGCGACGTCGCGCGCGTTAAACTGTGTGGTAGTTCTCTCAACCATCCTGTGGTGTTGGGTGCTCGTTTTGGAGAGACAACGTCCAGCATTCTTCACTCCTCCCTCTTCCCCCTCCTCCCTCCTGCCATCCCTGCCGTTGCCCTCCGCATGTCAACCATTACGGCGCACGCGTTTCTTGACTCGATTCGTGACCCCATGGGGAGCTCCACCGAAGGCCCCAGAGGCGACGTTCGCATGCGTCCCCCCCCCCCCCTGTCGGCACACCTCTCACGCTTTCTGTGGCCCCATAGGGAGCTCCAACTAAGGCCCCAGTGGCGACGTTCGCACGCGCCCACTCCAACGATTCCGGCACACTCCTCACGCGCTACGTGGCCCCATAGGGAGCTCCTCCGAATGCCCCAATGGCGACGTTCGCATGCGTCCCCCCCGCCAATTTCGGCACCCCCCCCACACATGTCGTGCCCCCATGCGAGCTACGCTTCGCGGCCTCCTGGGGAGTTCCACCCAAGGCCCCAGTGACGACGTTCGCACGCGCGCCCCCCCGCCTCGTCGGCACACCCCTCACACGCGTCGTGCCCCCATAGGGAGCTTCACCGAAGGCCCCGGGGGCGTCGTTCGCGTGCGCCCCCCCCGCCCGTTCGGGCACACCCCTGGCGTTGCGTGGCTTCTCCACCTGAGACCCTGGTGGCCACGTTCGCATGCGTCCCTTCCCATCTATTTCGGCACATCTTTTACACGTCTCGTGGCCACAGAGGAAATTCCGAATAAGGCCCCAGTGGCGACGTTCGCATGCGTCTTCGCCACCCATATAGGCACATCCCTCACACGTCTCGTGGCCCCACAGGGAGCTCTACCGAATGCCCTAATGGCCGCGCACGCATGGCACCGCCGCACCCATTCTGGCATACCCTCACACGTTTCGCAGCCCATCAGGGACCTGTGTTAAAGCCAGCTTCAGTGGCGACGTTCGCATGCGGACCCCGCACCCATGTCGGCACACCCTTCACGCTTCGGAGGGCCTCCACCGAAGGCCTCAATGGCGCAGTTCGCATGCCCCCCCCCACCACCATTACGGCACGAGACTCGCGTGTTTCGTGCCGCCAT